CCTCTGCAGCACGAGATCGTTTCTCCGGCAACACACCGAAATCCGTTATTTTCAGAAAATTTATCCAACAGTCTGCAAATACCTTTTCTTACGCTAGTCAAATGTTCAAGCTTCTAAATAAACCTCTTTCTATTTTGTCCAAAGAGAAAATAATACATCTAACACTGATTAGGTTGTTCCTAACACGATAAATACATGACTAATTCTGTAAAAAAATCAGTGTCCTCAGCAAGAAGCACGAACCAACCTTTGTGGATACTATGTTTGTAGACACATGATCTCCATTTACAAATATGTTGATAGTTGTGACGATCCTCGTGAATTAGTACCAGTAAGTCTATCTTAATTAATATCTTCTACTCCACTCATATGGCACATTCTGATCTTCAAAATATTGCAGCTCATCTCAAAACCGAGGACCCCTGAACCGCTCCCAGTTGGTGAATTGCTGATGGTTCGGAGATTTATCAGCAACTTCTCCCTAAATCACTACATCAATCCCACTGGTGATAATGAAGATTTCAGCATGCCTTCTCCTGCAACATTGAGTAAGAGTTGGCCGCTAAACATATATATATACGCTTGATGAGGTCTTCGTATTCATACACTATGATTAATTATGTAATGCATATATATGTGTGTGTGTGTGGACAAATCATTGGAATTTAGCTACCATATGTTCAATTGCAATTGTTGCGAAATCTGATGAATGTTCTTCCTGTGGAGATTATTTGTTCAATTGAATACTGTGGCGAATTTGCTTTTTGCGTGCCGATTCAAAATGGGATATTTGTGTTTATTTGTTCAATTAAATATTGTGGCAAATTTGCTTTTTGCGTGCCGATTCAAAATGGGATATTTTTGTTTATTTGTTCAATTGAATATTATGGCGAATTTGCTTTTTGCATGCCGATTCAAAATGGGATATTTTTGTTTTAACCTCGCAATTGCTCCGCACATGGTTCAACTAAATGAGTGTGTGCGATCCACATCGGAAAGCATACGTCAATCATAGCGGAACTGTCGGTGATACACAGCAGATCACAAACGATTTGCAGCGCTACTACATGTGCGTAGGGTCTTCGGAACCATTTGTGATATTGCATTATTGCACACGAGAACTCGGAGTAAACCATGCCCAATGTAAAATACAATCCCAGTCGTAATTTTTTCAGGAAACGTGTGGGATCCCAAATGAAAAGCACACGTCACTCTTGCGGAAACCGTCGGTGATACCCAACAAATCACAAACGGTCTGCAACACTTGTATGTGTGCGAAGGGGCTCCTGAACCGTTTGTGATAAAACATTATTGCAGACAGTAATTGTTGGGAAACGTGTGCGATGGAGTCTTGCATGGCAGACGGGTTACGTTGAAAACTCATGTGCGATGGGGCATAAATTGCACACAGTTCATATGTTGGCCGTGTGCCTTACATACTGTTTCCCAAACTGTTCATTACGACAGACCGTATGGTTTCACTGTGTCATTAGAAACGTTTAATCACTGATACCACACGTGCGAAAGAATTTAGTGTGTGCTGCATCACACATGATTACATTTTGGAAGGCCTCCGGATCATTGCTCCATATCTCCGACGGTTTTTGGGTCATGTGGGAAGGACACCCTATCGCCCACACTCACTTGGCGATGGTCCCAAATGTCATCGTGGAAAGATGTTAAAAACCATTTGCATAGCACCGACGCGTACCAGTGTGTGTTGAATGGGTGCCAACTTTCAAATTTGACAAGGTAGGTAAGGAGATTCGAAAATCTATCTTAAAATAGTTATGCACACATATGGCGCACAACTGCCAAGCGTATACTTTTCATGTGCAACACTAAACAACAGAGGTGCCAGCTGGTACCAACATATGGTGCAACTGAAAAGAAAATGTACAAAAAATAGGTACCTCAGCAGCTTCTGTAGAGGTTGGGCCACCCCCATCAGAGGACTTGTTTTTTTCCTTTTGTTCTGGCTCGCTTTGCAGCACGGGATGCAGTAGCATCCTCCACCTACAAAAACAATGATGCCTCATGTTAAAAAATCATGAAAAAGAGAAAACAAAAAATAAATATTGAATTTCTTTTACATATACTCAAAATTGTACATTGTGTATTCAAAATTTATAGAAATAAAAAAGAAATTGTTAAAGTCTCCGCTAAAAACGTACCCCTACTTCCTCACCATCATCGGGGGCAACACGAGTACGAACACCCCACTCAGCAGCCCTTTTCCCGTTCCACCGTGTATCCTTTGATACAATCCTCTGGATGGGTCGAAAGAACAAAAACCAAAAAACAAAAACAATAGCGGAAAAAAGAGAAGAAAATAGCACATATATTCAGTCATACTGGCTCCCTCTGAGCTTAAGAAAACAACCTCTTCCCCACTTCCACTGGCATCTCCCTCTTCAACCATTGTCACTTCAAAAAAATAGGTCCCAAAAAAATCATTCTAATTGCACGCACAAAAAATTGTAGTTAAACACTAACAAAAACTTGATAAACAATGCATAAAAAACCAGAACCCCTCCACTAGGACATGAAAATTCGTGCAGCAACCGGACCCTGGTTTTGCCATCTGGACCCTGGTTCTGCCAACTGAGATATGGTAATGCCAAGTGAAAAATGCAAGAACACATATCCCAGCTGTGTGCAACTATTGAACCTAGATCTGCCAGCTTGGAACTGGTCCAATGGCAAGTACAAAACCCACAGAACAAAGATACGCGAATGCGTGCAACTATTGTACCTATAAATGCTAAACTGGTGGTTGGGCTAATAGCAATTTCAAAATCCACAGCTGCCCCCAAAAAATGTGTGCAACAGATGCACCTGGAACTGCCAATTGGTATCTAGACAAATGTCAAGTAAAAAATGCACAAACACATATCTCAAATGGTGTGTAAACAATGTCAAGTAAAAACATGGCCAGGTTCCACACACACATGTGTAGTTGCATAAAAAAGAACAAAAAACATACTACTCACTTTACCCAAAACACACATGAGACAAACCACATAACATTCCCTGTGCAACTGCTACCTGCAAACAACTCATTGTGCGAGTGGGCAATGGAAACATTCCTTGTGCAACTATTATTTGTGCAACTGCCAACTGCAAACAACTCGTTGTGCGAGTGGGCAATGGAAACATTCCCTGTGCAACTATTATTTGTACAACTGCCAACTGCAAACAACTCGTTGTGCAAGTGGGCAATGAAAACATTCCCTACGCAACTACTATTTATGCAACTGCCAACTGCAAACAACTCGTTGTGCAACTAGGCAATGAAAACATTCCATGTGCAACTAGTATTTGTGCAACTGCCAACTACAAACAACTCGTTGTGCAACCGAGCATGAAATTAATGCAATAAACAGACAAAAAACAAAGGGATTCAATGACCATGGTGAAATATCTACCAACTAAAATGCAACAATACCTAGGGTTTCGATCACTTATGCAAAAGACACACTGGATTTGCTGTCGCGGCCTCCCCCGCTACAGGCACGGCGAGTGCGTCTAGCGGGCGCGGCCTCCCCCGCTACAGGAGCGACGAGAGCGTTGCGGTCGTGGACTCTGCGGCTATGGGCGCGGCGACATCACAACAGCGCGCGGCGCGGCGGGAGCACTACGAGCACGGCCTCCCTCGCTATGGGCACGACGAGAGTGCTACGGGCGTGGCCTCTCCTGCTACGAGCGCAGCGTGAGCACTACGGGCGCGACGAGAGCACTACGACAGCGGCCTCCCTCTGTACGGGTGCGGCGAGAACGGTACGGATGCGGGGAGAATGAGCGGATGAGCGGCGAGCGTACCTGAGCCAGCGACGAGCAACGGGTGCCTCCCCTGCTACGCATCCGCCTCCTGCGCACCTTTCAACGGCAGATTCGGCGACGAGCCCGACAAATCGGGAGGGGAGGGGAGAGGGGAATGGAATGAGGCGAGCGATGACGGGTCCTGAAGGGGGAGGAAGTGGCATGAAATTCGAAAGTGCCCACTGCCCCCACTACTTGTCTACGCTCACTAACGGGTATGCCTACACAGCAAATGACAGGGCGGGCCCACAGGGGGGTGCATGCCGCGCGCCTCGGCACAATCGGGCTAGGTGTGTGGGATAAACGAGCAGGGGAGAAACCGACCATGTAACACCTGACGGGTGCGGCCGTGCGATCGCATGCGATCGCACGGTTCGTGGCCGGCCGCTCGAGACGAGACGCGAGCGCACACGCACTAGTATGTGTTTACGAACAAAATTTTTGGTGGTTAGAATCCTAAACATGAATAGTGAAAATAGGTTTGGTATACATCCCGTATCCAAACAACCTCTTAGGCATCATTTGGTTGCAAAGTGAAAATATCCCAGGATAGTAATCCCACGAGGGGGACTTTCCATGGCCATGGGAAATCCTCTCCCACCACCGGGGGAGATCCCCACGTGAGTTTGGAGACAAGGGGGGGGGGGGGATCACGTGGAAGTGCCAAATTTCTTAGCAAAGAAATATACTATTGGAAAACCATGACAACTAATTCCCTTTTTTACAGAAGCATCATAGCAGTACGGAAGTAAGTAAATTTCTAATTTTCATAGAAAACTCAGGAATGACATAACAATGAAGAATAATTCAGTAATTTCAAGGATAAACCAGGAAATATGAAACATGCATAATTAGGAAAAAAACACTTCAGTCCACATCACACACGCTGACCATAAATAACACAAGATCGGGGATAAATTTTGGTGTGCTAATCATGGTTTTACATGTTTTTGGAGAAAAGACATCAGTCGAGTCCGAGATGAGGCTCGAACCTAGCCTGACTTTTTGAATTAACAAAGCCATCAACTGCCAGGATTACAAGCATATGCCCTCAGGCAAAAGAAAGAACAACACGGCGGTAAGATACATAATCGATGGACAACACCAAACTACTCACACGCTACGGAAACTGAAGATAACCAAATGAGAACGAAGCCGAAGATGCCGAGGACCTCAGAATGCTGCACCAGGAACAATATCACACTGGCTCGGAGGAGAGAAGTGCCGACATCAGCTGGGCATATGATGTCGCCATGCATCTACGAGCCCCGGCACGACACATCCGGTACGCCATCTTTGAAGAAGGCCACTACCTCCTCGCCTGGATCGAAGGCGCCGCATTGTCGCAAGATGGGATGGATGCTGTCGAAAGATGGCCTCGTAGAGAGGGTCAGCGCATCCCCAACGAGATGCTGGAGGCTCTCCTTGAGCAGAACATCGTCGTTGCACACATTCAACACCGAAGGGGGAAGTTTCACATTAGGACAAGAGGGCCACACCACCGCCGCCACCCACCACCCGCAAGCACCACCCGACCACAAGGCTCACAAAGCGGCGCCTTCAAGAAGGGAACGACACCGAAAGCACCGCCGCCGCCCAACAAAGTTGGGGCTTTCGCCCGGGAGACCTAGGGGCAGGGGAAGTGAGGGGATCGATCCATACCGATGCCTCCAAGGAGGGGAAACGACACATTTAGTTCCATTAAAAAGATGTACATATGTGACTGATCAATGCCAAAATGTGTTTTCACTGGAATAACCACTCTACTGAAACTTCCACCATCAACTTCTTTGAACATTTTCATTGGTTAGCTTTAGGAAACCTGCAAATCAAAACAGAACAATATAGTTACTATATAATACTCCCTTCGTCCCAAAATTATTGTTTTAAATTTGTCTAGATACGGATGTATCTAATACTAAAACGTTACTTGGTGCATCTGTATTTGGACAAATCTAAGACAAGAATTTTGGGACAGAGGGAGTATGCCATTTTAAACTATATATAAGCACACATGCATGGTTGTCAATGAAATAGATGCAAACATAATAAGCCAGACTGATTTATGTTCTTATAAATAAAATATTGTTCCCTCTGATTCCTAGACGACCACGGCATGGATGCCATCATTTGGCAAGAAAAGAATGTTACACTGAAACCAGCTTGAAAATAGTCCTCGAAGCTTCTCAATTGTATAAACATTATTCCAATTGTACAATATTCAAAATAATATACACTGTATGTCAGTTTCCTAGGAGTGGCAACATTAAGATCAATACCCAGATGCATTTATCTAATCAGCACAAGATACATATATACATCATTAGCCCACATGTGCATAGATGACTATCTAATTAGCACACAAACGGATGCATATTTCCAACAAAACTTACAGTACGGTGTTAGCATGCATGTGCATATAAGAATCCAACTACATTTTCAGCTAGCTATACCAAGTAACAATCGAGCAACTGACATACCACATCACTTAAATTAACAAAAAAACAATCTTTTCATGGATGAAACAAGAATTAGCCTACCAAAAGTATGAATGAAGAATATATTGCTAGATGGAAAAATAGCCAACAAAGCTTATGAGTTTGTGTTCATAGTCTCTCCCAAGAAAGAGAATGGATGCCAACAAAGCTGTAGAACATGCATTAACAAGAAAACGCAAGATAACCCTCCAAAAAAACTGCCATGAGCCCGTGAGCATGAACTCATTTGAAGGTGTTACTTTCTGTAGCTTCCCTACTATATTGTCTGCCAACAAAGGGCTATTTCCTAACAGTACATTAGTAAGTGATAATTTAACAACACTACATCAATAATAATATCAATTGGCTTTGCTGCAATCACATCAAAATGAACCCAGCTCTTTCTTTTTTATAGGAAGAAAAAGTCCAATCAAGAGCAATGTTTTGCGACGTTTTGCCTTCTCTCAACTCCAGTTAGTTACTCTTCGGTCTTCGCTGAAGCATCCAAATGCTAGAATACTCACAATAGGACCAAGCCTCAGAGCACAAACAAAGCATGAGGACTTCTACAAGAGCATCTGCTCTTTCGGGCAACCAAAACCACTCATCTCCATCAAGACACAAAATTAGATGATCTAATAAGTCTTTTACATTCTTTTTTTCGAGAGTATGCAAATTGCTTACCTTAGCTTTATAGAAGAGAGAAAATAATATACAAGAGTGTTCTGTGTACAACCCACAGTCACAAGCCGACCCAGGCCACGCAAAACTCCAACTCCACACACTACGTTAACTCCTCACAAAATGGTTTCAACTCCACACCCTCCCGCTATCGCCCAAGTGCGAAACTCATCTAGAATCTTATTTACAAGATCTGTAACCGACATTGGTGTGTCCACCGAGCGGAAAACACGATCATTCCTTTGCTTCCATAAGTGCCAACACACTAGCATCACCAAACTATCAAAAGCTTTATAACCGCTGATCTACAATTTTCAGAGTTGGCGTCATACATCACGCAAGCAAAAGAGCAAAAATCTGTTTATATAATTTTGCCATATACAGTACAAGATGAGAATTGAAAATAATAATACAATAATTGATTGCGCTATCGCTAACTGCTTGCATTAATCACGGCAGCGTCTAACTTTTTTTTGAGACAATCACGGCAGAGTCTAACCACACACCATTCACAAAAAAGAGTCTAAGTACGCTAGGGCCTATGAGACTTAGTAGAGGCCGGTAGGCATCTCATGGGCCTTTTCTTTTTCCTGTTTTTATACTTGAGACAAGGAGGGCCCAGTACGTGGCTTCTCATGGACCTTTTCTTTTCTTCA